GAAGGTGTCCCTGCCCGTGGCAGGGAGGTGGAACTGAATTACCTTTAAGGTCCCACCCAACCCAACCCACTCCTGTGATTCTATGATGTGTTAAGCCTCTTGCAGGCTAGCAGCGTGCAGCCTTGCGAGGTGTGCCGAGCACCAGAACGTTTAACCTTGGCTGGCGCCCGGGAGCTGACACGATCATGACCCTAGTCACATGCCTGTGCCCTACAAAAACACCCTACCCAAACGTTGTTGTTGTAGAAGGTGTGTGAGAGAAGGGCCCATGCTCGAGGACTAGGAATCTAGCCTCGAAAATGACTCCATCAGTAACGGGATACTCACTCTTACACTCCGCGCTAAAACCACTTGCAATGCTCCCACGTTTGAGTGACTGCTTGGAAACAAAAGGGGTCACCGCAATTGTTCTGCTTCAAAGCAGACTACACAGAGAAAGCTCTTGTAAGTCGCACCGAGACACCTTTTCAAAGCCTCTGCATGGAGCCATACTGTAATACATTCTGTTTCTGTACCCAAGACACTCTCATGTGCATAGATGTTTATATAAATGTTGTATATAAACATTTAACTAGTTGTATTGCTTTTTACATTTTTGTAAGTAAAACATAACTGAGAACTAGAACCCCGGATTTGTATAACTAGGAAGACTTACAAAGAAAAGTTGCTCTTAACTATCCACAGTTATTTCATCCATCTGTTCAGTGTTTCATACACTGCCATGTGTCCAGTATTTAAAACTCCAGATTTTTACAGAAACCCCACCATATATTCTGTTGCTACCATACTTTTAAACAAAAAATCATGCAATTCAGAGTTCGCTTTGACCTGCATTATTTTACTACTAAAATACCAATAAAATAATGCTTACGTTAAAATAGGTGTTATTTTCAAGCCACAGTATTTCCTCATGTCAAAGGTTAGGCTACTTTGTTTGCTGTCATTACCTGAACATAAGGTAAATACAATCTTGAAATTTTCTTCTCTCTTTTCCTTAAGGATTTAATAACAGTAAAAACTAGTAACAAAGGCAAAAAGAGTGGAATGCAAGACTCGAGACAGTATCTGTCTGTAAGACATTCTGTAGCCATTAGAATCTGATGGTGTTTTCATCTGAGATTTTTTGGCTCCTTTCACTGGAATGAGAGCAGTCAAAGAGGAAAGCATAAAATCAGGTAATGCTAAAACCAGAAAAGTCTGCTTCTAGTTCCTCCAGGTTTTGATCCAGCAAATGAAATACTCCATAAGCAAATTTAGGTCTGGATCATACACACCAGTTGTATCTTGGGTGATAAGCGCACAGTATTTTCTGTAGAGTCTTATCCATTCTTTGAGTAGGCAGACTGTAGCTGCACAGGGAAACAAAGTCATCTGCCCATTCACTGAAGTCTTGCATACCCTAAGCTGTCTTCCATATATGACCCCAGATTGCAAAGTTACAGCCTCCGGATCCAAAACTAATTTGTGGAATATCGTTTGCTGAATATGAGGCATTTGAAGATGATCTTTACAATGTAAAGATTTGTTAATGAAATTTTACCTGAGAAAAGAGAAAGGCCAGGAACAGTCATGCCTGAAATGCAATCTGACGAGGGAGAAGAATGAAAAGTTTCTGGGCAGAGGTCATAAGTAGGCAATGCATAATATTGGTGTCACTGGGGAGGAATTTCTTGTCAGCTATTCACTTTTTTATTAAGTCAACCAACATCCTCTCATCAGTGTAGTTTGTAACATATATGGGTCTGCATGCATTAAACTAAACTTCTACATTTCAATTTGGTGAAGATTTCTCCTGCGTAAGACACTCCAGCTTCCACTTTTCTATGTCCCTTCCTTTAATCTTCTTCCTCAAATCCCCCTTGCCAAATGGAAGGAGTGAACTGAGCAGAAACACCAGAGTTAATTTTTAGGAGTTACCTGTTGTGAAACACCAAGCCTGAGGTATGTACTTCTCATCAGCAGATGAACAGGTTAGTAAGTTCAGGTGCTGTTTGCATGACACTGAAGTCTAGAAAGAAGTCTGGCTGACAATAAAGTATGCCATTACTTAGCCTCTTCCTCACTTGGCACCCTCCTTTATCGCCTATTAAAACAAGCGTTGTGGGAGTAAATTTAGGTCTTGATCTTAATAACCACATTTACTTGCCAACCATATTTAAATGCCACCCAGATCACACCTATCCTTACGTAAGGATAGCCGAGTTGTCCACTGTCGTGGTTTAAGCCCAGCCGGCAACTCGGAACCATGCAGCCGCTCGCTCACTCCCCCACTTCTTCCTCCCCCTGCTCCCAGAGGGATGGGGAGGAGAATCGGAGGAATGTAACTCCCACAGGTTGAGATAAGAACAGTCCAGTAACTGAGGTATAATACAAACCACTACTGCTACCAATAATGATGATAAGGGAAATAACAAGGGGAGAGGATACAATTGCTTACCACCCGCTGACTGATACCCAGCCTGACCAGAGCAGTGATCTGGGCCTTTTGGGTGACTCCCCCCAGTTTATAAACTGGGCATGACGCGCTGTGGTATGGAATACCCCTTTGGCCAGTTTGGGTCAGGTGTCCTGTCTCTGCTTCCTCCTGGCTTCCCCTCCTCCCTGGCAGAGCATGAGACTGAGAAAGTCCTTGGTCAGAGTAAACATTACTTAGCAACAACTAAAAACATCGGTGTTATCAGCGTTGTTCCCAGACTGAGAGTCAAAAACACAGCACTGCACTAGCTACTGAGAAGGAAAAAAAATGACTGCTGTAGCTGAACCCAGGACATCAACAGATGTGGTAATTTAGCTTTTAGCTTTTAAAAACGTACAAAGTAAATGTATGGGAGAACTAGTGTCGTAATGACTAAGCACCGTAGCTGTTCATTCATTCTCTCAATATTCATCTGAGTTCATTCATCCATCTTCTGTTCCTGCAAGACAGTTATTTCAACTACAAAAGATCTAGCTGAAAAGAAGATAAACATTACAGAATTTATTTTCTGAAAGTGTTCCAGTGTAGGTTACGGTAATTCAGTAAGATCAGTGATTGAGCAGGGTGTACGGGACCATACTTTCTCAAGCATCCTTCCCATAAACAGTTTCCTCTGCTGGTTTCATGTGCCTCTCTGACATGCTCAGAATGACATACTGTTTGATCAGTGCTTGTTACGGTTAATGTTCGCTGCAAATAAAATGAACACCTTACATGGATAAAGTGGTATTTAAAGTTGAATAGTATGGGTCTGCAACTATTGTACTAGTTTCTCTTTATATATTGAAAATTCTTATTAGCACAACAGGGCTGGTAGGTTTCAATACGAATTTACATTTTGAAATATAAATAGGCTGCTGCTGTGAAAGAAATACTGGCTTCCCAGGCTGGCCGAGTCAACTTTAAAACCAAACCACAGACCTCTTATGCAAGAAAATAAGAGTTTGTATAGTTCTCTACCACATGTACTTGACTTTATTCTGATGTTGTCATATATTTATTTTGGTCTTAGGATCTGAAAATGCTTGTGAAAAGACTTCATTTATGTTTCTGCGACAAGAGTTGCCTGTGAGATTGGCAAACATAATGAAGGAAATAAGCCTGCTTCCAGACAACCTCCTAAGAACACCTTCAGTGCAGCTAGTGCAGAGCTGGTAAGAAGAGCATACCATTGAGGGTGACCTTATGTCTATACGTGTTGGAGGAACTTGTTCTCTCCAGAGAAGGAATGTTTCACATGCTTGTTACATGCACATCACTTATTTAGACTGAGTAAATATTCCAGTGTGACATAAATCAGAAACTAAATTTACAGACTTGGAAAAAACCCTTTAGGAGCAATTAGAGAACCCACAAGGGAAGTAAAAATCATCAAGTATTGCAGACAGTCATGTATGAGAGAGAATTCAGTAAAACCAAAAATTCACCAGAACAGCGTTCAATAGGGGACTCTCCTAAATTGAGGAAGCTAGTTGAAGAAACCAGCAGAAGCAGGCTAATGCACAAATGCCCGCAGAAGGTAGTAGAAACCATTTAAAAGACAGGTTATTGCAAATTGAGAGTAAAGGTGTAGCAAATACAAAGAGCAATGGGAAGCTCCCAAAGCAAAACTATGTAAAACAACAGAAAGAATATGAAGCTATTAAAATTTAAAAAGACATCCTTTGAAAAGTAGAATTTGCTTTGAGGTAAGGAACTTGCACATAAAGCATAAACTTCTGTAAGATGAAAGGAAAACAAAGAGATTGCTTGGCAACTGCTAAAGGCACGTGGCTATTTGGAAAGGCTTTTAAAGTTAAGAGAAGAGAAAAATCTGCCAGTGAATAGTGGAATTGATTAGATGACTGAATATAAAAAGAGCTGTCAATGAAGATGGAGGCTCTTAATGAAACATGAATGCTTAAATTCTTACAATACTAAATGACACTGATCAAATGGGAAATGAATTCCATGTGGACAAACGCAAAGTGGAGCACAGAGAGGAACCTCCTCTCTCTGTATGTTTGCTTGCTTACAATGGAAAAAGACACTGTGGTGCTACTGGAGATATTTTACTGAATGTGTCAGTTGATGGGCAAGAAGGCAAACAGTATTAGGAACTAAGTAAGAAACGGGGAGGAATATAATTGTAGCACTGTGTTAGCCCATTATTCCTCTGAACTGCATGCAGTTTTAGGTGCTCTGTCCTGAACAGAAAAGACCAAGAGGGATAATCAGAGGGCTGGAACAATTTCTGCGTGAGGAGAAACCAAACAGAATTCTTAATCTTGGAAAACAGACATCTGAGGAAAGAGATGGCAGAAATACTTAAATCATGAACAAGCTGGGAAGATTTTCTAGTAACAGGGGACTTGCTGGGGCTGCGAATAAGTGATCACCTACTGGGTTTAAAACACAAGGAAGATCTTTTATGCACTCTAATTAAATTGTTGAATTCATTGCTGTGGACATCTTAAAAGAAAACATGAATAGATTCAAAAGGAATCTAACAGAATTCACAGGTCAATGGGATACATCAAATACAATGATTTGGAAACAAGCAACTTTGGAAGACCATAAATTACTAACCAAAGGGATCTAGGGAGGCATATTAGAATTGGTCTTTTGTCACGTTTTCTTTTGTTTAAAGGTATGTCCAAAGTCTTCAGGAGATCCTTGACTTTAAGGACAAAAGCTCAGAAGATTTGGAGGCTGTTCATAGGTAAGGATTTGCTGTCACATTATGATGTTAATGTTATGTAGAAGGACTGGCAAGAAAAGAATAGCTTAATAAAAATCTCAGCTATCTCCAGTCTTAAAGAATTGCAGTAAGGTCACCCCCTGTTCCCAAAAGGAGGGTGCATTAAAATATGAAACAAAGCAGTTCTATGCCATATCAGTCTGGTCAGGGCTTTTCTGGTTACACTGAAGAAGCTATGAATATGTAAAACTTGACCAAATGTTTACCAATTTCTTGTAATGGTGGAACTCATTTATGGAACTTTTCACCTGTAGAGTAGGTTTGGTCATCACTGGCTGACCATAACTGCCATTTGACAGACATGGGATGATCTGCATGAAAATGGTTGGCACAGTTGTCTTTTTTTGGCAGTAACTTGAGATAGTAAATAAATAATAATTTTATAAGTAATTGGTAATGGTTGAGTACTGACTGTTTCAATGCTAGTTGCCTGAAATATGCTGTAAAGACTGACCTGTCTTCATACTGCTGTAGGCAGACCTGTGGTATTTACGTATCAGTCTTCATGTCTGTAGGCAGATACTGTTTGCCAGAGTATTAAATTCATTTGAAAGTGAAATACTAACAATGTATTAATTTTAGTTTTACAGATACTGTGATAAAAATCCGGAATCGACACAACGATGTAATTCCTACGATGGCTCAAGGAGCGATAGAGTACAAGGAAAGCTTTGGCATCGATCCAGTGACCTCACAGAATGTGCAGTATTTTTTAGACCGTTTCTACATGAGTCGCATTTCAATTAGAATGCTCCTTAATCAACACTGTAAGTGCCATTGTAGCAAGGAGGGGAAATAAGACCTGTACTGTGTCAGTACATTTTCCTTTAGGTGCTTAATATGTACTTAAATGCTGCTTAGGAGTATGCTATTTGCCTTGTTATTTATAAACTCATTCTTAATACAGTTCTTATAACACTAACTAATAGTAGGCTTTCAAGTATGGTGAGGATTGGAATTATAGATTGCCTATAAATTTCTATTTAGAAAAACAGCAGACAAATGAAAATTATAAAATTCTATTGGGTATTAAATAATATTTTCTTTTTTTTTGGCAGCACTACTGTTTGGTGGGAAAAATAATCCAGCTCATCCAAAACACATTGGAAGCATTGATCCTAGCTGCAATGTTGTTGAAGTTATTAGAGGTAAATTCAGCAGATAAGAACAAGAATCCAGAAAACTTACATGGATGTCTATACTGAGAGCCAATACACAGATATTCATATACTGTTTAGTTCTTTCCTACCCGAAGCAGAAGTTTCATTTCAAGTGTAATATAGTTTTGTCGTTTTTCCCTATAAGCTCAGTTTTTGTGAGAAAATACAAAATCTCACTGACAGTGCACAGTGTTTTAAATTCTTGGTTTTCTTTTCAGCAAACTATAAGGGAGAAAACTGCAAAGAAGTGGGAAATGTAACCCTCTGTGTTTCTATTATAGATGGCTATGAAAGTGCCAAAAGACTCTGTGATTTATATTACATGAGCTCTCCAGAACTCATCCTTGAAGAGTTGAACAGTAAGTGGATATGGGATGAGGCACTGTCTAGAACATAGTTACGGCTTCTTCTAAAGTAGCTGGTGGTGAAATGTTCTACTTACACTTTTCATATAGTTAATGTGTTTTCTATATCTACTGTCATAAATAAGTTGTTTGGTTCTTAAATCTGGCAGAAGGCTTTCCCTCTTTCTCCCTTTAATTGGAAAACTGAGATCAGTAGAAAGATTCTTCATACTACAGCTGTTGATAGAACAGATTTTAGCAGCCTGCTTCCCTCCCTAATGTTTCTTGCATGTCTTTACCCTACACTGTCTATTGTATCTCACAGTCTACATTTCTTGTAACACTTTTTAAGATTTATACTAAACATTCATTTCTAATTTCTCTTGCTTATCCAGCTATCATGTTCCTGTAGTTGTAATTAGATATAGTATACATGAGTTATAGTAGAAATTTTTTGGAACATGGGCTGTGACTTGCAAAAAGTTTACATCTGTGTTGCTATGAACTCAGAGATCAGCTGTTGTGCTCATAGTCCTGCAGAACGCTGAAGAGCCTTTCTGACATTGCTTACTAGAGTACTTTTAAAGATACTAAATTCCAAGTTCGACCAGACCTACAAAAACAAGCAATCAAAATTCCTCTTACAAGTAATTGCGAAAGCCAAATTGCAACCACAGTAACTTGGCCTATGAAGCTAAAGGCAAAGGAAGTATGACCTTGAGTACACATTCCAGATTTTCTCTTCCTACTGTGCAAAAAACCTGTCATTTTGTATCTAGGTTAAAGAGTTTACCTCTCTCCTTCTTTGGGGCATGACACTAAAAACATTTGTAGGAAACTGTCGCTAGCTAATTCTCTGTACTGAGGGATCATTTAATGGTGTGGGTGCTTCAGAAGCCAGAACAAACAGTTCAGCATTTATAAAAGGAGTGACCTTTTGCTCAGTGAATCGTGAAGGCAAGTTAAACCTGATCCAGGCCAAATGCACGTTCCTTGCCCACAGCTGAGAGTGGAGACCATTATTTAAACCTTAGGCATGGGATTTGGGGGTGGAGGCATGGAGGGAAGCAGTTAACTTGAGCATAGGAACCAGACATATTTTAAAATGTGATTCCCACCCCCCACTTCCCCACCCTTTATCGTTGCTGGGTACATAATTTGTACTAGATTTTTTGACATCACTAGTCTTAAGCATTTATGTTCATAAAGCACTGGTCACTAACACAGTCTGGTGAGAAATAATTTGTTAAACTGAAAGAACCTTAAGAGCCAGCAGAATTTTCTGAGCAACCTTTCCTTGTTCCCATGATGTATTTTCTAGAATTTATTCTTTAAAAAGAACTTTGAGAACTATACTGGTTTTATATACAGTATGTATTTTTTGTTCATTTCTCAATGAATCCAGGAATAGGCTGTGCTGTAATTATTATCTGGTGCGTTTATAAGATCATAAGATAATTCAGGTTGGGAGAGACCTCAGGAGGTTTCTAGCCTGACTTGCTGGAAACAGGGACAGCTACAAGGTCAGACCGGGTTGCTCAGGGCTTTATCCAGTTTGGTCTTACAAATCCTTCAAGGATGATGACTATGTAACATCTCTGGGCAACCTATTTCAATGCTTAACTGTCATGATGAAAAGGTTTTTCTCTGTATCCAGTCTGAACCTCTGTTATATTATACACTGTTTCTTGTCCTCCACCTGAAGAGCCTGACTATTCATCATAACCTTCTCATAGGTTACTGAGAGCAACTATTACATGCCCTAACCAGTAATGCCACAGTGTGTTTTAAGATTAGTTTCTAAGGCAGCAAGCACGTTTGAAAATCTTGAGCATGACTTTTGATTAACATACAACTTCTTAAAAGATTTCTGTTCAGATTTTCCTTCTCTGATAAATTCTCTCAGTGATACAAATATACATTTTGGATTTACTGTGGGAATGAATAAAAGACACCTACTAGTTTGCTGTTTAATTAATTAGCGTCTCTTTTCTCCAGTTAAATCACCAGGACAGCCCATGCAAGTGGTGTATGTGCCATCACATCTCTATCACATGGTTTTTGAACTTTTCAAGGTCTGTGCACTTACCATTACATGATTCTTTTATACATCTTTGTTTACTGAGATTGCATTTGTTTGACTTTTGGAACCAATTCTAGATAGCAGTGTGTTTTTGCAAAGCTCTAGCTATTTGACTGCAGGACGATACCTAAATTGTACTATTTAGACAAACAGTAACTGCACAGAAGATGAACAGCTTTGGAAGATATATCTCCTTTGCCTAGCCATTGAATACATCTGAATCTTCTGAGTAGACAGCTTTGTCAAAAAGTCTTAAAATGTATACAGACATTAGTTAAACAAGTGAAAATAAGATACCCAATTTGTGAGACATCTTCAAGTCTGGTATAATGTGTAACAGGTCCTGTAGAGCTTTCCTTAAGCAGTTCAGTCCTAGACTGATACTTGTGTCATATTGCATATACTATGCATTATAAATAATCAACAAATAAAACTGTATATTAAAATATTCAGATGTTCTAAAAGAAAAAAAAAATTAGGTCTCTGTATTCTTACAGACTATATAAATACTATACTGAATCAACAAGAAATATTTAAAAAAGCTGTTTTAAAGCCACATGCTTTTGCCCCGATTCTGAAATATGATAAAAATAACTTTCTTAAATTGATGTTTGAAGAGAATATACAAAGTGGTAAGAACAGGATTTAAGTTGTACTTGAAAATTACAGAATGCAATGAGAGCCACCATGGAACATCACGCTGATCGATGCATTTATCCTCCAATTCACGTACATGTCACATTGGGAAATGAGGATTTAACTGTGAAGGTACCCACTTTCCTGATTATTTTGAAAGTTATTTTGATTATTCCCCCTCCTTTTCCACCACCCCATCATAGACAGCATATTACTAACTTTAGCTGGTGATCGGGTTCCAACAAGAGAGTCTGTGTGATGACGCAGCACGTAAGTAACAAGACCATTACGGAATTTCACATACTGCGTTAGTAGGAAATTCATTAAGTGGTTGCACAGTCACACCAAAGGCTCTGTAATAGAATTCTATACTTCTGTCATGCTTTTGTCTTTGCTAGCTTACAAGTGAGCATGACTAAAAATAAATAGTATTGTTCTAAAAAGTAGCATCTTTCTAGAATTCTAACATCAGTATTTTGTATGTGACAATGACGGAGCTATACAGGTGTGAAACAACTGAAAAAAAGGAAATAAACATTGTATATTCCATGCAAATCAAACCTCCCTGAAGTACAGTTTGCAGAGTAATTTCTTCTTTTTCTGTACCAGCTGCAAGCATGGGCTTTTTCCAACTAAACCATAGTAAAACAACTCTTATGATTTACTCCTTCAGTAATAGGTTTTAATAGACTGTATTTAACAGGCAGTATTCCTGAGGAATAAAGATAACAATATATAGAACCTGGTACTTGCTAAAAGGTATAGATTTTGACTTCAGACAAAATTATGAACAAGGTAAAAGCAATGCACAATTTAAGTAGAATTTTCTTGCTTCCAAGAGATTATGAATGCTTCTTATAGTAGTGATTTATTTAAATGGTTCGCATAAGGGATGAAAGGGAAGGATTCATCTATCTATCTCTGGTCATTGCTGTAGCTGAGAGATGAGAATTTAAGAGAACCCATAATTTAATTAGGGACAACTTTATGTTTTACCTGAACTTTCTCTGGATCATTGTTTGAGAGTAGCTGTCATTTACAAAAATGTATTCAGAGACATGATGCTACGTATTTCTTCTTGTTTCAGATGAGTGATCGTGGTGGAGGTGTACCTATGAGGAAAATTGACAGACTATTCAACTACATGTATTCAACAGCACCACGTCCACGTGTTGAGACATCACGAGCTACACCTTTGGTATGTAAATCTTCTATACCGTATCATCTTGGATATGTTAAATTGTCATAAAAGAAGCCATTTAGACAAAGCTATGAAGTACTGAGTTTATAGATACAATGAGTATCACCATTTGAATGTTAGAGCTTAATGCAAGTATTTTTCTGAAAGTAACTGGAAAATTGCATAAAATCCTAAAATCCTAAAAATTATTTAAAGTTGTTCAAGATTCTGTTTTTCTGCAAATATAAAGATCACCTACCTCAAGCAGAACACTTAACTATGCTGCATGCACGGCAGTAAGGACAGGACTAAATTCTTGTTGTGGCCACTGAATGAAGGGAAAAAGAGTTCATATCAGTGATTCCAGATCAAGACACTAGTTTTATTTGCACTGTGTAGTTAGGTGTACTATTCCCCAGCAAGGATGAAGGTATATGTTCATATGAGAGGGCATATGAACAATCTACTTTGGTCTTGTGTCAACTTAAAAGATGCATAAGAAATAAAGCTCTAGTTCTCAGTGGGAAGCTCTGAACAGCTTTTCTGTATTCTCTCACACTGCATCATTCAGAATGTGTTTTTTAAATATATACAGTGTTCCACATCTAAATGACTGTGCAACTCACTGAACACTAGATCTTTACAGAGAAGTGTTGCGTATGTTCATTGACAGATTACCTCTATAATTTAGTAAATTAAAAAAACCTATACTTAACATTCCAGGGCTGTGCCCTGCCACTGCAGACAGGGCTTGATAGAGTTTTAGTATACGCTACAAACTCATAGACATTGCTTCTTGGAACTTTCTTATATATATACTGATGATGAAATGTATCTGACTTAAGTACTTAGTGTTCATAAGATTAGTGGCTCAATAAGGCATTAGGACAGACTCAGTACAGATTTCTCTAATGGTGTAATCTCTTCTCGAAAAGCTACCATAATACAAGAAATGTTACCTACCTGCCCTGTCTGACAAAGGAATTTAAGTTTTCTCACAATCACAATCATCCATGCGTACTTCTGTTTCTGGGGTGTGTAGCAGTAGTTCTGGGGGGCATAATAGTTAACATTTGAACTCCTCTCACTGTCAAACATCATGCTGAGTTTGTCTATTTACCTATTAAGTTAAAACAAAAAACACCACTGATTGATGCAGTTAATGAAAATACACTTTTTCTCCTGGATCAGGCTGGATTTGGTTATGGCTTACCCATATCACGTCTGTATGCCCAGTACTTCCAAGGAGACCTGAAACTGTATTCCTTAGAAGGCTACGGTACAGATGCAGTTATTTACATAAAGGTATGATGTAACACTAACTCTTATCTAACTGCTAATGGAACTCCTTGTTCTGTTACTGTAACTTTGATTAAAAAGAACTGTCAGCTACAGTCTTCTCTACTTACAGGCCTTATCAACAGAATCAATTGAAAGACTCCCTGTGTATAACAAAGCAGCCTGGAAACACTATAAAGCAAACCATGAAGCAGATGATTGGTGTGTGCCAAGCAGTGAGCCAAAGGACATGACCACTTTTCGTAGTATATAACTTTTTCCTCAATAGTTCATAAGAACTAGGTATGTCTATAAAGGGAATTAAAGACCTGATTTACACCAAGATGCTGAGCCACACTTTAGATGCAAGTAATTTTAAGTGGAGTAACAAAAGGTTTAATGTAATTACTCTTTTCTGGAATAAAAAAACCCCAACAATCCAAAACCCAAGAAAACCCCCAAACCTGTACATACATTTAAATTTTAATCGAGAAGGTCACAGTTAATTTGTTCCACTTTGTATTTTGTAGCTAAGCCAAGGGAGCAGTAATTTTGGGTTTTATAGGATCAACACAATCTATGCCACATCTAGTGAGAAATGTATTAATTCATGTAATTACAAAATGTTTCTAATAGAACTATTGAAAAATCTCACCAGAGCATTTTTCCATTACAGTATTACAGATTAATGGAAAAACTCATGTAAGAAATACAGAGGAGCTCATTGCTATACTTTTGGACCTGTATAGCACTTTCTGTTCTTTAAGAATGCTGAAGCCTGGTTTTGCAAAGTTAGTTATGTTGGCTGTACACCTTGCCTACATTGAGGTTTTTGCAGCTGTAGAAATCACACTTAGGTCTGTGGAGATTTAAAGAAAATAAATCAGTTCTAGCTGCTACCGCTGGTATAATGTATCTCAGGTATGGGGTATTGGTAATATTTCTTTGGTTGTAAAGTGAATACTTAATACATGTGCAAAACCTTGTCATGATCCTTGTGAATTAGCAAATAGTGATAACTTGTGTACAGTAAAGATACGCTGTCTTGCATTTGCCTATACTGCTCTATGTATCAAAATGCAGTATCAGTGTTCTAGCCCTAGTAAGATCTTAGATTTGGGTATGTCAGGTTACAGCTGTAAATGGAAACTATTTTAATAAACAGGTTTTTAAAATGTGCCCTTAATAGGGCATCTCTATTACTTTAACAATAGAAACTACCTTCTCAGGTGTATTTAAGAAGAAGTGAAGTTAACAGTTTTCAAAAATACCTTTGTATCTATGATGTGCTTCTGGCTTCATTTATGTAGTAACTGGAAGTCACACTATAACATCAATAAGGTAAGCAGAATGTGTTTATCAGTCAAAGGCAAACTGTCAAAACATACTGCGGAAGATAGAGGAGGAATGAGTATTAATTTCAGGTACAAAGTCTTTATTTTAATAAAAGATTGAACTTCTTTTAACGCCTGTTGTGCCAGCTTTGTTCAAATGGTACACATTCATGTTGCACCTTGATCCCTGTCATTCCTGAGCATTTGAGGACTGCTGCAGTTGAAGACACCAAGAACCAATTCTTTTCTCAGTTAATACATTGCATGTAATTCTGTGATTTTTGTTCTGCAGCAGACATGCATAATCCCTCTCAGAAAGAATAAGCCTAAGTTTTGTTAGTTTACTCTCTGTGCAGACCAGAAGGTGAGGTACCACAAGTGAAGGGAATAGCTGGCATGTTAGAAATTGAAGTCATGCTATTCTAGTTGTTGAGCCAGATTGAAGATTTTCACCTGCCACCTCCCTAGTCTACTTCTTCCAGACAATAAAAATGGTGTTACACCCTGGTCAAGGTAATGTAGGTCACTTTAACAGGAGCGATTTACAGAATGGGCTGTATACACAGTTAAATTCACACTGAGGGAGGATTAACTGCCACCAGAACAGTTACAGTTACCTGCTCCACTCCAGCTTGTGAGTACTTTGAGAGGTCCTTGTTTTAATTCTTTACAAGGGTGCGAGGTGGTGACTAGCATACCTTTTCCATGTGCACGGCTAAATGGATGTGAGATGGATGGATGTGAGAAATTCCTCATATTGTAAAATGGAGCCCGTACAAAAGAGGGAACACTTGCAGCTACTGCTTTTGCTAAACTAAAGCTGAAAGTTACAGCAAGGGATTTTAAAACCTTAACTCTGAAGCTGAACATTCTAGCTTTTACACTAATTTTTAAATGTATTAACTAACTTAATTGAACTGACTTTTGTAATATCTGAGAACTAAAAGCATTTTAGAAGAAAAGCTAAATAGTTTACTTTCTGGAAAGTCCACTGAAGTATTGCAGATGGTATTATCAAAATAAAACCTCTTTTGTACTCTCAACTAGTTACCAGTTAATTCTAATCATTAGAACAACTTGCTGTGTAATTATATTTGTATCTGTCTCCTCACCCACCACCTGAATGATTGTTGTGAAGACAAATGTATACTATTTTGGTTTCAGTGTTTAACCCTACTTACAAGTTTGATCTTCGATTACTATTGATTAAATAGATGTTCATAAGATAATTTGTGTTCAATATTTTCATTACTGTACTGAAGTCATTGTTAGCACACTGGTTAAAGTTGAAGTGAATCACTGTAGAAAACTGGTATACTAGCTCAGCTATCCAAATGCTGACATTAATAGTTTTGTATGTAAATGAGCTCAGTCTGGCACTGTGAAATTAATCTTGGTTTGCGTTAATTTTCTTGAAAGAATCACTACATTTATTCATTAAAATTATTTTAAAAATTAATCTTTCAGTTGGGTGATTTTTTGTCTTAGTACTAGGCTACTTTGGTGGATCCACCCTTCTTGTTTAGCATCTGGCAGATGTTAAATCCTGCATTCTGTGACAGTCTTACGTTCAGGTGGCAGGTGAGTTTATCATCCCTGCTATGACCCCCATTTAACTACAACAGCACAGCACACAGGCCAGCCTCTGAAACCATGATTTCCACTAGACTCCTTCCCAAGAAACAAACTCTTCAGAGGGTGCAACAGTCGGATCACTAGGCTTAAAGGAAAAACATAATATAATACATAGTTGTATCAATATTCTCTGTTTAGCTGAAAGCACTTAACTGAGAAATAAACTTCCTTGTGACTGAACTGAAGGGTGGTTTTACATATTGATCCTATGCAGCTGATCATTCCATACTTCTAATTCTCTTCTATCAGTAGGGCAGCATTCCCCTCTGGCTAAAGGTCTGTAAATTTGGAGTACAAACTCAAAGCTACTGGAAACAAAGTAGATAAGTTAAAAATTGACTAAAGAATTGTTGGTTAATGCACAAAACTGAAAATTGAAGCTCTTCTTAAAAGTAATTATTACCACAATTTTCAAACTTTATTTTGGAAATGGACAGTGTGCAGAGGCATTTCCACACAGTCCTTTTGCTGAAGTTCATAAGACATTTATACAAAAAAATAACACCTGTGAAACACCAACAGTGAAGTTCATTCATTTAATTAAAATGAAAAACAGTCCACAGATTTAAAGGAGAACTTGGTCCACATAAACAGATAATGCAAGTTTTGTTCTAGTCCATTCTATTGTGGAACTGATACTTAAACTAGTCTATGTTTCTGGAATAATCTAATTAAGGAAGTGCTGTTGTAGTAGCTCTAAAAAATAGTATGTAAATATACAAAACACCAATTCATGTTCTCAACTATTCTGAGAATCAAATCCTCCTTTAAAGAGAAATAAACTGTAGTCTACAATTGAACACTTAAATACAATGCAGAAACCCAGTGCTTCAGTGATAATTTTCCAAAATCCCTACAATTCTTCCCTCAGTATTTTAAGTTTGAAAAACAGTATAGTTTAAAATTAGCAAATATATAAATTTGGTCCGCAAAAAATCTTGTAGCAGGTAGAAAAGAGAAATACATGTATTGCAAATTGATCTTATTCATAGTGTAAATCTATAAAACTATGTATTATTTAGGAAAAATAGGTTAAAAAAGATCTTATTTATAGGTTTAAACCTTGTCCCAGCACCATATGGGGAGTGTACAGAAGACTTAGTATTATGTTTTGTGTATGTAGTTTGTGAAAACTACTTTTCTTGTTATTTTCTCAGTAAATTGCAACACATAAAACTCAAAACCCAATGTGCTACTACAGTGAACTTTGAATGAAAATCCCAGAAATACAAGAATTTAAACATAATCCATAAATTTGAAATACATGCTTTCTTTTTAAATTAATTTGACATTACTGTTTTCTTAACTTTTACTATACATCTTTAGTGGCAACAGATAAACAGACTGTGACAGACTGAATTTGTTGGCAGGATTTTTCTACTGTCCCTCTATCAGGTTCAACTCTATTAAATGCTGGTTGACTGATACTGGAATGATTTTTAATACAGTATTCTACTTTCCACAACCAATTTCAATGAGAAGGGCATCTCAGGTCTTAGAAGCACAAATATTACTTAAGGCAGAAAGTTAAATTATTGTCTATTAGTACAGGCAGAGTCAACTGGGAATAAAAATACTGAAAACATCATTTCATTGGGTTGTAATGGGGAGGGACCATAATTAAAAAGGAAAAAAACACCTACCATGTAAAACTGTTGCACTTTCCCTCCTCCCTCAATTGTACAATTATATACAAATCTACTGAACTTCCTCAAGATGAAGCAAGTCTGCACTAAAATAAAACAGGGTCATTTTAGCAGCTTGATTCAAGAGTGGTTACCACTCTGCCGGTCTTGCGAACTTCTCTCTCCTTCTTTTGAACCTTTTCCTTCTGCTTTTCCAGTTTTTCTTGAGTTTTTCTAATATCCTTAATTTTTTTCTTTATTGTTGATCGGTCATTTTGACTGGAAACTCCCAAAGCCTTTTAGGGGATAAAAAAGAAAGAAAAATACCTCATCATTATTTTTTCCAACAGCGTGGGTATGTGTGAACAGTTAGGAAAGTGTTACTCATTTTGCTGCAAGATAGCCTGTTTATTTGAAAAATAAGAACCTCATGAGCATTGTAAATGATCATTCGGGTTTCAAAGTAAGTCAGGAAACCAGGGCCTACTCTTGTTCAGTTGTGAAATAACAGCTTCTTGTTGCATTTTATGAACACATAGACACCTGAGAATTTCCAGAAAATAGCACAAGAAGTAGTAGTCTCAAAATATTTTTCTAGCTCTTTTTATACGAGTGGAATTTATATTCAGTAACTACTCTTTAATTTTTAATGTTAAGGACTTTAAAGTGTATTATTAAAA